CATATACGGGGCAACATACATCTAACTTTACCAGGAATGCTCATCTAGACTTAGCCCCCTCATATTGATCCCTTAAGGACCCGTTAAAATTCTTCTCCTCTTGAATCCCTCACGGATTCCTTACTTTTAATTTCTTGTGGGTTATATCTAAGTTCTTAAAAGAACTCTCTTATCTTGTTCCACTCATTGAACCTTTCTCAATCTTATTTAACCACACATATTGTAACGTCCCAAAAGTTAAGGCCAAAAATTTTCGATTTCAAATTAATAAAACTATTATCAAAACATCATCATAAAACCATCGTGGAACAAAGTGTATCAACTACATTATAAAACATCAGAGTAATCATAAAATGCGGAACAAGGTGGTGTGTGCACTGCAATCATCCCGGGCTCTTCTCCTTCGAACCAGAAATACCTAAAAACATAAATTGAAAACCGTAAGCACAAAGCTTAGTGAGTTCCCCAAAATACTACATACCATACATAATAAACATATAATGGGCCCCGCCCGGCATCGAACCCCGCTCGGTATACCGATCTGTCAGTCATCGGGCCTCGCCCGGTATGCATATAAACATATAAACAGACAAACACATAGCAAATGCAATAATCACAAAGATAATAGCATACAAAATGGTCATCGGGCCACGCCCGATATCAAACCCCGCTCGGTAAGCATACAAGCACATAACACATGCAAGAGTCACGCAGACATCTAGCATCTAAACATAACAAACCATGGGCCGAAATTGGTGCCTTCGACCCGCTAAACACAGTGATGAAACTCATCTCTATCTGGCTGAAATACGCAAATGAATCTCTGCCTGCTGGTCCGGAAAATCCCCGTGCTATCATCATCAAAATAATATCCAATTATTATGTGGATCTCGACTCATAACCAAGAATCTAAGCTACTTAGTCCATAACTAGGGTAAAAGACCATTTTACCCTTTTTCTTACTTGGCCCAAAATCCAAGGCCCAACCCAACTACTCAAAAGGCCCAAAACCTAAATGGCAACCCAAAGCCCAATTATGGCCCAATCTTCCAAATTGGACCCAAAACCCACCATGGGCCTAAATCCAAGGAAGCCAAATATACTAGCCACAATCCCCAAATCAGAAGTCTAATGGCCCAATAAGGCCCAAACTTAGAAAGCCCAAATTATGGCCCAATCCGAGAATCGCCAAGCCCAACGCCCATCTGCTGAGTACGCGGGGGGTGCTCAGCTCGTACGCGCAACGTAGGAATGAGTTATAAAACCGGAAAACCGGACCGGAACCGAAACCAGTATAACCAGAAAATGCTTAAACGGTCCGGGTATTGGGTTTAGAAATTATTCTTATCCGGGTTCCGGGTATTCCGGGTACCGGTCCGGGTATTCCGGGTTTTAGAACCGGATTTGTAAAAAAACCAGAACCAGGTTTAATGGACCGGAACCGGTTTAATGGGCCAAGAAACCGTAAAATTGAAGGGTCATCAAAAAATACGCCTATAAATAAGATTAATGATATTCTCTAAATACTTAAATGAAAATACATGTTTGGAGTTATATTTCGGTAATAAGATTATTGAATTCGAGAAGTAGTTAGTACAACCTTACTACAACCTATTAAGAGTTTAAATTTAGCTCTTTAAGATCTAACAAACCAATCTTTTACTTCAAAATCCCAAAGGAAACCAAAAACATTCACATTAAATTGCAACAGTAATACTGTGTGGTTAGCAAGTTTGAAGATTACAGTTTGCAAACAACTCCACATAAAATTTGTATATTTAATTAACGTGATACATATACTATCTAACATTAGATTTTTGTAAATCAAGTGGCATTTATTATTTTTTATCTGTTAAAATGGTTTTAAGTAGATGCTAATCAATGGTTGCTTTCATGTGTTATTAACAAGTATTACGGATTTATATATATATATATTTTCGGTATACGGTATCTTGGGGAACTCATTAAGCTTTTTGCTTACGGTTTTAAGTTTAAATGTTGCATGTATTTTATCAAAACATGGAAGAGCACGACATGATTGCACCGCATCCACTAGAGTTTTCGCATATGATACTCTAATGCCTTGTTTTGAAAACTACATTTAAAACTATGATGCTCTTTTTATGAAATGGATTGTGGTTGGTTTGATTTATGTAAAAATGCAAATTTTAATCTATATTTTGGGGATACTACAGATCGTCTAGAAAAACATAAGATGTAGAGATCAGGGAGGCTCTAATTGACTGAGTATGTTTGCATCCCTCTAATCTGATTTTTATTTCATTCTCATTCTAATTACCTAATTCTCTCTTAAACCTACCACATCACCAATGGAGATTTGGAGACCCAATTTGTGTTCATTGTTTAGTGTTTGTGGTGGTTAACTTCGAGTTCGATTGCTTACCTTTCCTTGTATATATTATGAGTTTGATTTTTTTTATTCTGAAACAAACATGAAACACCGAAACACTTGAGATTTTTGAGGTTTTCAATTTCTGAATTAGGTGAGTTCGACTTATATTCTGATTCCTTTTTCTCATTCTAACTTCTGATTTGTGTTTGATTTCTCAATTAGGTGAGTTCGACTCCTATTCCAATTTCCTTTTTCTCATTCTAATTTTTGATTTGTGTTCGGTTCCTGTCTTGGGTGAGTTTGGTTGTTGTTTGTTTCAGAAGTTTAATTGTTACTTGTTGGTTGTTGGAAGACGATAACAGTAGAAAGGCTTGCTGGAGTTCAACCAGGCTCAATTTTTTTTTTCTGTATTTGCATTAGAAGTATGTTTCTTTAGGTTTGAGCTTTGTGGTTTGCTTCAGTTAAAACTTCTAAATTTATATGGTTAGCTTCATATATAAATTTCTAGTCTTATATAATTCCTTTCAAAACTTTTGTGTTATGTTTCTATGATTCATGAGGCATACTGAGGTGATTTTGATACTAAAATTGTTGTGATGTACTTGGAATTGAGATTGGTAAAATTTGATTGCTATTTTGTATAGTCGGGGTTAAAGTTCATTTAGTAATTGAGATCATTTGGATTTTGAAGTTAATCGTTAAAGTCATCGGTGGTGTTGTTCATCTAAGCTATTGTTAGGCTAGTTTCACTCATGAAAGTTCAATGTTATGAATGGGATGTCATCAAAGTATATTATTATTTCCCATGAAAATCTTTAAGGCATTCTCCATTCAAAGCCTAAGTTCTATGGTAGTTGTAGTTTCTTACTTGCTGTCAAAGTCATTTAATGTATATTGATGTTGTGATATGGTGCAGTTAACATTTTTTTTTGCTTTTAGTAACTGTAATAATTTCTAGCATATGTGTAGCGTTTTTTATAATATTAATAATGCTTTCGCTGTTAAAAAAAAAAGAATTAGCATCACAAATTAAAGTAATAAATAATAAAAATAATTATTTTCGGAGATTATTTTATCATCTTGTCCGGGACATGAGAAACTGATCGATTAGCCTTGGGTTTAGCGTTGATTCTTTATTCATTCTTAATTCTCTTAGTAGTGGTGTATGGCTATTGGTTAAGCACATTCATTTGTTAAGCTTTTATATATAACAAATTGACAAGTATTCGCTTCTGTAGGATATTGCATAAGAAACGAAATAAGCATATATTTAAGTTATATGATTGATGTTTTGTTAGTGTATCTCATCACAATGTCTCTATATATGCTCGCGTAACCATTATTTCCATAATGGCTCTTAATGTGTAGCATTTTTTATAATATTAATAATTCTTTTGTTGTTAAAAAAGAATTGGTGTCATAAATTAAAGTAATAAATAATAAAAATAATTATTTTTGGGCATTATTTTATAATCTCGTCCAGGACATGAGAAACTAATAGACTAGCATTGGATTTAGCGATGATTCTTTATTCATTCTTAATTAATCTCTTAGTAGTGGTGTATGGCTATTGGTTAAGCACATTCATTTGGTAAGCTTTTATATATAACAAATTGACAAGTATACGTATTTGTAGGATATTGCATAAGAAACGAAATAAGCATATATTTAAGTTATATGATTGAAGTTTTTGTTAGTGTATCTCATCACAATATATGTCTATATATGTTGGGGTATTTATTATTTCCATAATGGCTCGTTTAGAGAGTAAACTAAATAACTAATGTCTTTCATATTTATTTATCCTATATCATATTATAGCATGTGGCTTAAGATATTCCTCTCTAACCTCACCTAGCATCTATCTATGACGGAATTGTTAGTATATCTCATACCGATGCGATGCAGTACGGTATCAGTACGGTATTTATGTTGTTTTATATGTTGGAATCTCTCATGTACTCCTAAAAAATATTTTGAAAGGTAAACTAATGCATATATCTTAAAAATCTGACGGTGGAATATATAAAGAAACGTATTGGGAATGTGAGTGTGACATAATGCATGAAACAAATTAAAACATTCAATACAACATAGTAAACAAATTCAACTAAAGAGATAATAATAGGTTTTTTATGTCATGCTAAAGAACAATTATCCACCATGCTAATACATTTTTCTAATTTACTAACAATTTTTATTTTTACGTAATCACATGCATGAAAGAACTTGCTAGAAAGAAATGGCAAGTGTGGACATATGAGATTCCAATCTACCATAATCCAATTACTAAAATCAAAACAATAACTTAATGATCGATAATTAAAAACAAAACAAACGAATAATCGAACCTCAAAAAATCCCAAAATTGTAGAACCACTCCCTACCATCAGCATTCTCTTTCCACAACGATCTCCTCCGCGTCACTTTCTGTTTCCCTTCGGCTCACATTTCAAACAAAATCTCCCCAAATCACTTGTTCAAACTTTTTTCACATTCGTCTCTCATAATTCACATAATCCCACGAAAGATTCTGCTGTAATAACAAGATTTATACATACATTCAAACCCACACATGTACCAGCAGGATGAGGATAAAAGAGATCGAAGAAGAAAAAATGGCATTGGAAACTATAACTATTACAAAATGTTTGGATGTTTTAATCGGAAGTTCAAGATTAGCGACCTGGGTCCACCGCAAGACGTAATAGAGGTCTTCAGATTGTATTCCACGGATGGGTCGGAGATGTTGCCGGATAAATTTTTACTGTTCTTAACGGAGTTCCAGGGAGAAGAAGGGATCACCATTGAGGATGCGCAGCAGATTATGGATCGGGTGCTCGATTTGTCAACCTCCCATTTGACTCGCTACGCTTTCACTGTCAATGATTTTTTTCATTATCTATTAGATGAAATCAACGGGCCCCTAAAAACTCAGGTGGGTGTTTGTTTTCTTTCCCAAATGCTCTTCGCAACATTATAATTGCATGCATTTTCTTGGTGAAGATTTACAATTGTGTAAAATTTTGTAGCCTTTTTTTTCATGTTCTTTAACAAATTTTATGATCTCAGGTACATCAGGATATGACCGCTCCATTGCAACATTATTTTATATACACCGGTCACAACTCATATCTCACCGGAAATCAACTCAGCAGCGATTCTAGCGAAGTGCCAATCATAAGGGCTCTTCAAAGAGGTGTTCGGGGAATAGAACTTGATTTATGGCCAAATAATGCAAGAGATGGAATACATGTACTTCATGGCAGGTATGCATGCATGCATGCGTACGTTGACAGGCTTTTTATTTGACATATATCTGATTTTTTTTAACAAAAATAGGACGTTGACAACTCCAGTAACACTTCTTAAATGTCTAAAGTCTATCAAAGAGCATGCTTTTGTACAATCTCCGTATCCTGTTATTATCACTTTAGAGGATCATCTTACACCGAGTCTTCAAGCTAAGGTTGCAGAGGTTAGTTTCAATGTTAAGTTTCATATTAACTCCTAGCTATAATCATAGTAATTAATTTTTTAGCCCTTTGATGCTATGAAATTCCCTATCTCATTGACTTATGGATTAATTTATAGATGGTCACAAGCACGTTTGGGGATATGCTATACTTCCCACACCCGAGTGACAAAGATGAATTCCCTTCGCCCGATGAATTAAAATATCATATTATTCTTTCAACAAAACCCCCCAAAGAATACCTTCCATCCAAGAACGCGCACAAAAGACGTTCATCCGTGGATAAAGATTCATCTGATGATGAGTGGGAAGATCTTAGAGTGAGCTAACATGAAATCTAATCTTTTCATTTATAATTTTTAACTGACTTCGATGAATAAAGATTCAATTTTGTTTGTTTATAGCAGAGCAACAGTGATCAGGATGATGACGATGATGATACTTACAGTATAAGTGACAGATCATATTTCTGTCCAAGCAGCGACAGATGCAGTGCAAGCTCTAGCACTCATAGGATGTCCGACATCCTTGGTGTGGATTATGAAGACGATGATAATGAAGATGAAAAATCAGGGCATCAAACAGCTCTCGAGTACAAACACCTCATCGCAATTCATGCCTCTAAGCCTAAAAAAGGAACAAGAAAAGCGCTAATGGATGAACCTGGGAAAGCTAAGCGTCTTAGTGTGAGCGAACAAGCCCTTCAAAGAGCTGCCAGTCTTTATGGAGCTGATATAGTCAGGTAAATCAGTAAGTGTCTTTTCTTTTTACGTCAAAAAAGTAGCATCAAACTAAAGAAAGGTTCATATGCATCTTAGATTCACGCAAAAGTATATCCTTCGGGTGTTCCCAAAGGGAACACGGGTTACCTCAACGAACTTTAGACCACTTACTGCATGGATGCATGGAGCTCAAATGGTCGCCTTCAATATGCAGGTGAGTTTTGTAGTGGAATTTTTTGAATCTTTACCTTTTTTGTTTTTAAACCAGCCTGATGCTATTTTTTTTTTTTTGTAATTAGGGTTACGGAAGATCGCTTTGGATGATGCATGGGATGTTTAGAGCGAATGGAGGGTGTGGTTATGTTCGAAAGCCTGATTTTCTTATGCACAAGGGTCCTAATGGCGAAGTATTTGATCCCAAGGCAACATTACCAGTGAAGACAACTCTAAAGGTCGAATAAACCATTCTAAATGTTCTCTTAAATTTCATCACCCTTTTCGACCCGCTAGCTACATATACAAAGTTTTGATTTTACAGGTGAAAGTATATATGGGCGACGGGTGGCGATTGGATTTTAGCCAGACTCACTTTGACGCATACTCACCACCAGATTTCTACACAAAGGTAAGTCATCAATCGATAGCCACCAAATAAACCATTACTGATCTAAGAAGAATTAAAGGGGTACCCTTTAGACCTTTCTTAGCTACCTTGAGAAAATCTAATGGTAGAATGGAATGAATCAGATAAATATGCGTGGGGTGGCGGTTGATGTGTCCAAGAAGAGAACTAGAGTGATTGTAGATGATTGGACACCGACATGGAATGAAGAGTTCACATTCCCATTGAGAGTGCCAGAGCTAGCTTTACTTGAGATCCTTGTACAAGAATATGATGTAGACAGAGCTGACTTTGCTGGTCAAACGTGTTTGCCTGTATCAGAGTTGAGACCTGGAATTCGTGTCGTTCCACTACATAACAAGAAGGGAGAGAAATTTAAGTCAGTAAAGCTTCTTATGCGGTTTCTCTTTGTATGAACACATATCACAGTGATTTTTTGGGGTCCTGTTAATTATGTATAGGGGTTGCATTCTTGTTGGTAAAAATGGAAACCTTTTTCGAGAATTTGATTAGTGTACAGAACAAAATATCTAATCACAGGATTTGTGAAATACAAAGGTGAAGTTTTTAAATGATTATTGACAATTGCTTATGTCATTTTGGTTGAAATGAGAAGTGTTGGCAATCTAATTTAGATTTCCAATAATTCGGGTTGGTAATTGAAAGTTGAAAGCATGCAACAAGTATCTTTGATAAAAAAGAAGTCACTAAAACTCGGTTGTCTCATTTAAAATTTCTATTTATTTATTTATTTTTATTTTTTTGCAAAAGGTATTCTCAACGCAAACCCGTTTATTTCGTGTCATGCCGCGGGTCGTATCGAGAATTGTCAGGCCAGGGCAAGTAAGGCCTAAGAGTGTACGATGTAGTCATTTGTACACATCAACCTAAGGGGTATTGAGGCTACTTTCATTGCATGCAATAGCTATAAAGTTGAAGATCACTACAAAATCCAAATAACCCACAATCGAAAATCATATTGTATTCCTTTTATAGGGGTGAGTAAAATCAAACCTGGAAACTGAAGCATAAACTGACAGTTTACATTTAGATTTTTCATAAACCGAAAATTTCGGTTTGGTTTCGATTTTTGGATTTTGTAAAACCAAAAGAAACCGAACCGAACCGATTATATATAGTGTTTAGGTTAAAACCGACTCATGCTCACCCCTCCCTTAAGCTACAATTCTTTTACATCAAATCATAGTCAATCTTGCCATAACTATTGGTCACTCGCGATAAAATTTAGTGTTTAGGGCATCCACAATGCATTGAACTTCATAGAGTTCAATGGATTGCCACATCATCGTTCTACAATCCATACAACTCTATAATTTTTTTTCCTACAATGCATTGAACTTCACAAAGTACAATAGAATGTTACAAAATATAATTTATAGTAAATATTTAAGAATTAAAAACTTTCATTTTTCCTATTGAAGAGTTCAATGGTTATTGAACTCGAAATCCATTGAATGCTAAGGTGGCATCTCATAACGGTAAAGTTTTATCCATTGAATGACACATAGACTTGTCACCTCATTCAACTCTCTCATTGAACTCATCATCATGGATGCTCTTAAATCACATAAAAATATAAAAATATATAGCATATATACAATCTTAGTTATTTAATTGGTAACAATTTTTATTGGTATAGTCAAACATTTTTCCAATAATCATGACCGAACCTCTTCTAGACACAATTTTGTTATATTGCAATTATTGTTTACCATGTAATTATGCTCACATGGGTCATTGATATCATTCCAACAAATAAATACTTTTCAAAATGACAATTATAAAATAAGTAACACTAGCACCATATGTGCTTTAGAAAGGACAAACAAATTCTATCATGCCAAATTATACATACAAAATAATAATAAAATACAAAATAATAATAAAGTGTCGTGAGTTGGGTAAAACTAACAACGTTCAACAAAACTGAGCTTCAAGAATATTGCAAGCACCTTTGAATCCATCTCCTCTTGGTACCAAAACTCATCCTATATAGAACATCATTAAGATAATTTCATTTGACCAAGTCATATGCTTTTTCAAACCACAACTCTCATATTCTTTGTCTAACACCAAGTTAACACCTCATATATTTTCATCCGGTCATCTCACTACTAGAAAAATGAGAAATAGCTTCGAAAATTACATACGGATTGTGTTGTAGGTATTATGAGATTTTCTAGTAGTGTCTAGAGTCTATCTCCACGGATAAAAGTAGACTACTCCCTAATCCTCAACCCATATACAACTGACATCAACCGATTAACTAAAATTTTGCCAATAAATTTATATTAACAACCTATATATCACACTAATTGGACGAAAGTCTTTGACACATTTAGCATCACAAACTTTCGGAATTAAGGCAATAAAAGAAGGGTTACACCCTTTTGAGAATCTACAAGAAGTAAAGAATTTCATCATTGTAGCTACAATACCATGCTCAATTAAGTACCAAAACTTCCTAATGAATTCAAAAGTGAACCCATCACCTATGATAATAACCAATACACTAAACATTAATTGTGTAGATACAATAACATGTTATAATGTATGGGTCAAGGTTGTCAAGATCGGGATGCTACATAGGATCGTTTTTCGCTTTACAAGATTGTGATCGTAAGATCGAATCGGATCGTAAGATCCTACAAAAAGCATTTTAATACATAAAAAATATATTTTCATCCATCTGTTAACCATTCAGTTAATAATAAACTGTTTAAAACATAAAAAAATACATCATTTAGTGATAAACAATTCAAAATTGGTATTCTACGTAGTTAGTACATGAAAAAATATTAGAACTTTGTTTTAAAAAATAGTCACGATCCTATGATCTACAATCGATTTTATGATCTTACGATACGATCATACCACTATCTTACCGAAAAACGATTCTAGTAAGATGAGGATCGATTACCTAGTTAGGATCGTAGGATCGTACGATCCTACGATCAGGATCGGTATTTTAACAACCATGATAAGGATAAATAAAATATTAATGTATGTACATAATCATCATAGACTAACGTTAGTAAAGAGTTGCCAACTTGATCATCTTAGAGGTGCATAACATGGAGCATAGTGTATATATTGGGAATTAGATAGTTCGCTTACAAAAATAGTTTAATGCAAACAATAAGAACCTAGTGGGAAAACTAAATTAAAATATAATTTCCAATCTCAGATCCAGTTGGACTATAGTCAATTGACCAACAACACATCTATATGATGTTTGGAAACTTTTACCGCGTGTGTATGGATCCTTTGATGTGGAAGAGTGAAGATCAATGCAAACCTTCATCTATTGGTAACCATATAGACCAACAAAAACAAATTTCTAGACTTTCAATCACCTAAATCTAATTAACAACTTTCTTGGTTTCCTTGTAGTCTAACGATCTCAAGTACATAGAGAGATGGTAGAACACAATTATAAAATAAAAAGGAAGAGATTTTCTGAATGAACCATTACCATAAATCTATAATTGCTTTCTTTATATATTTGTGTTAACGGGTGGGCTTTAGGAAAAAAATTCAACCCATTAACATATATATATATATATATATATATATATATATATATATATATATATATATAGATGTGAGATCCGTTGAAAACTTATAGTTTCCCTAAAAACTTAGAACTAAATGTGGAGCGTTAGATCAAAATTAACTCATTAAGAGCATGACCGTCATCTTATCCATCTCATTTAATGTTTAATTTTTTTTTGTTATTGGAAATATTAATAAAAAATTTAAAAAATTAACATAATAAATCAAAGTTCGGATTTTTTTAAAAAAAATAATTTTCGATTTTTTTAAATAAAATTGAGATTTTTTAATTTTTTTTCAAAAACAAGAATTTTTAAAAAATATTTAAAAAAAGCTGTAATTTTTTCAAAAAAACAACAATTTTAATTTAAAAAGCTGCAAAAAAACTGCAATTTTTTCAAAAAAATTGCAATTTTTTCAAAAAAAAACCTGTAATATTTTCAAAAAAACTGCAACTTTTTTTAAAAAAAACTGTATTTTTTTTTAAAAAAAACTATATTTTTTTTAAAAAATAGTAATTTTTTTTAAAAAAAACTGCATTTTTTTCAAAAAAAAAAACAGCAATTTTTTTAAAAAAAACTACATTTTTTTAAAAGTAAAATTTTTAAGAATAAGTAAATTTAAAAAAAAAAAACTAGAATATTTAAAAAAAAAAAAAAACTCTAATTTTTTTAACAAAAAAAAATCAACGTTTTAGGTGCATATATATGAATATTTTTTCAAATGCATATATGCATATTTCTTATACTATAATATTCGTAAGTAAATCATAAAAAACCTCATTTTTTATTAATCAATCTATAAACATAATACTACAAGTATTTTATTCGATAAAAAAAAAACTACAAAGATTCACAGTATGATCATTTCTTCATATCAAAATTTCCATATTTTCTTCGATTTTTCACTTTTCACCTCTTCAATATTTTCCACAAATTCTTCAAAATCTACAACAAAATTAAAAAAAAAATGATTAATGCAAGAACACTCATGTGAATCATATGTGATTCACTTGTGATTTACATGTGAATTACATGTGATTTACATGTGAATCACATATGATTCATATGTGAATAAATGTTATTTACATGTGAATCACATGTAATTCTTATGTGATTCACTTGTGATCTACATGTGAATCACATGTAATTCATATGTGAATCACTTGTGATTCAGTTCACTTGTGATTTACATATGAATGTCATGTGATTTACATGTGAATCACATATAATTCATATGTGAATCACTTGTGATTTACTTGTGAGTTACATGTGATTCATATGTCAATTACATATGAATCACATGTAACTCATATGTGATTCACCTGTGATTTACATGTGATTTACACGTGAATCACATGTTATTCATTAGTGAATGGCATGTAATTCATATGTGAATCACTTGTGGATTACATTTGATTCATATGTAAATTACATATGAATCACATGTAACTCATATGTGATTCACTTGTGATTTACATGTGAATTACATGTGATTTACATGTGAATCACATGTAATTCATATGTGAATCACATGTAATTCATATGTGAATCACTTATGATTTACTTGTGAATTACATGTGATTCATATGTAAATTACATATGAATCACATGTAACCCATATTTGATTCATTTTTTATTTACATGTGAATCACATGTAATTCATATGGGAATCACTTGTGATTTACTTGTGAATTACATATGATTCATATGTAAATTACATATGAATCACATGTAACTCATATGTGATTTACTTGTGAATTACATGTGAATCACATGTAATTCATGTGTGAATCACTTGTGATGTACTTGTGAATTACATGTGATTCATATGTAAATTACATATGAAGCACATGTAACTCATATGTGATTCACTTGTGATTTACATGTGAATTTAAGGGTGGTAAATAGGTAAATTAAAGATTGGAAAATTGATATGATTGGAATACTACAAATGTAGATATGAAAATTCAAGATTGAAATTGGAGTTGAAACCGGAATGTGAAATTTTGGTTGGGCGGAATGGAATTCAATACTAAAAATGAAATCTTTATTTATATTTAAATATTTTTTGTTTATTGTAAATGATTATAACAATTTTTTTTTATTTTTTTTTATTTCTGTATATGTAATGAGAGCATTTTGGTCTTTAATAAAAAAGAAAAAATGAAAATATTGAGTACCTTTGATGGAAGCAATCATGGCCATGAAAGTCTATTCCACATTGGTGGAATCTTTTGAACTGGTTTCAGGAAAGGAATTCCAAGTTCAATTCACTGGAAACAAAGAACAAAAAAATTGAATTTAAAAATTACTTTTTCTTTGTGTAATTCAAGTGCTCAAAAGTTGTTATGTCGTGAACAAAAAGAATTCAAGTTAATCATTATACATAATGATGAAGTGGTAAATCTTTATGTTCTAACAAATACCTTAGAAAATATCATTTGAGATGATATTATGAATATATGATCGTCATCTAAAACATATGATATAAAAATATGGAGTTTTATAATGAAAATGAGTGATTCTAAAATGTTGACCTCAAACAACATGTTTATTCTATTTTATGTGGATGAAAAAGGGTGATTTATCATAAAAAATCACAAAGCACCCAAACATAATGAAGATACTGCCATATATGCCATCTCTAGATCTATAAAAACTCATATCTTAATTTCAACAAAGGTATAAGCCTTTGAATCCATTGTAAATTTCAATCGCAAAGGTTACATTTAATTCATATATAGACCTTGAAATCGAACATATTTCCTATCAACTTCAGATATTATATTCAAAATTAATGTATGTTCCATTAAATTTTAGGTCACGATGTAGAGAATTGTCAAATGCCAATTTGCCAAGTTATTTTACTTATAAAAAAAACACGAATGAATTAACTAGATGAAATCATGTTTTGTTAAATAAACAAGCATCAAAGTTTTCACAAAAAAAATCAAATAACATAGCAATAGAATTCAATTCCGATGACGGATAGCTGAACATGAATTACAGTGATTATTTGCAATTTATCAATATTCACTGTCATTTCACTGTATTTTTGAACATTTTATGCTTATTACAGTGATTATTTGCAATGTTCATATGTGATGTGGTTTTAATGTGTAAATATTTACCTGGTGAACAATACTAGAAAAACATGCTGTCAAAAGCATGTTATCCCCATTTCAGAAAGGAAAAACGTTCATCGTTGTGTTGAAATTCAAGGTACATGTTTGCTTGAACAACATTTGCACTTCTTGAAACATCAACTTGAACTAAATGGTCAATCACAAGGTCTACTGGCACCTGGGAAATATGAAGATTTGAATGAATTAAAAGTTGTTGATGCTTTAAAAAAAATATGTGTAGTGGATAATTAGAATATTACTTACCAATGGATTGATCTTCTTGGAGTCACCACTGAGTCTGTTCATAGCATCTCATATACAAGCAAGGTCAACTACAGCTAGAACTCCAGTAAAATCCTAAGAAAATATCATGGATTATTATAAACGAACAAAGGAATGCAAAGTTGTATACTTCTATTAAGCCAATATACCTTGATATTAAAACAAAGCAACTAAATCTGGTTCAGAACTTTCATCGAGCAACTTGCGTGCACTTCAGAAAACCTAACACTTTGAATACAAATTGACTATATTTTCACCAGAAGGGACCATGTTAAAGGGAACAACAATATTCATAAGGCCACACATGAAGGAAAAGAGCACTAGAATTTTATATTTTCACGAAAATGTTCTTCTTAATAAGAAACCTTCTAAACTCTAAGTAATTTCAATATCACGTATTGTATTGAATCTGACAACTAACTCAGTATAAGAACAAGCACATAATAAGCATATAGATTGTCAACTTAATTTTGGTAATGCAAAAAAGAAAAAGTGAAATCTGATCTAAAAAACCGAAGAAATGCAGAAAAATAAAAACCTTTGTTTAGGCAACTTCCGGTGGAGGAAAATCTCTAGATTAAGAAACTTAAACACAAATAAGCAGTATCTGTCACAATCAAAGAAGAATTCAGATCAAAATTGAAGGAACTAACATACTTTAAAAATCTTCAAATTTTGAACATTACATTCTCTCACTCTCAACCTTTGAACATATCGGAGTAATTCATAGGTCACTGGATTGGAAGTCTTTAATGATTGTAGGATATCTTCACTGTATAAATTTAGATGAAGAATAACACATATCAGTGAACTCTTTAATAAAACCTAGTGAAGACCTGATGCAACAACCGATGGTAAACAAAGGTTCTGATTGAGAGATTGAAATCAATCGGTGATGCAATTGATTTTTGGGGAAAACATCATAAAATATCTAAGTTTGAAGGAAACAGATTCTGAGCGTATTTGCTTCCCTAGGAAATTAATTTTTTATATCATATATCAAATAAAACCCAAGCTTTTACTTTACTTGCTGAGCAAAGTTCCACCAAAATACAACCAACACTCCATTTATCACATGGATAACTCTATACATGCCATGTATATCAATACAAAGGTAAGAACACCAACATGATTAAAGATGGATTGAGAGATATACGTTTTGGATGCAGAAAACATGATTAAAGAGAGATTGAATGATCACTTTTTAGTTGTTGATGAAAAATGATGCATACCAGATAATCATAAATTTTTTCCAATGAGATGTCAATTAGAAAACAATTACATTAATAAGTTCATGAAAAAAAAGAATAGTGTTGACACAAAAAATATATAATTAATCTACATGCTTACAGTAAAAGAAGAACATGAATGAAAATTTTACGATCATATGAATTCATTAGCTTCAAGTAATACAGATTATCAAACAAAATTGTTATAATAAAACCAAAAAACAAGTATTTAAACCAAATCCGCATTCATCAAATAGCAATTGTCCATCGATTAAGCACTTTTGATTAAACTAAAATAAAAAGCCATTGCCGATGAATGGAATCAAATTAAATCAAAAGGCATTATAAATAAACAAAATCAAATTATATTAAAATTTTACATCGTTCATGAATTTCGAGGGATAAAACATTCATTATTCATTGATTAAGAAAATTTTGATAAAATTAAAATAAAACCTTATCGGTATGTCGGGAAGGAGATGATGCATCACTGTAAGATTCAACGCCATAGAAGAAGGATGTTGAGGGGAAACACCGGAAACATATATTCGATCGACAAAGGATCGTCTTCTCCAATTAGATATTCGATCGGATGTATGATCGACAGGGGGCACTACTCCGTTCAAATCTTCAATCGACAAAGCAAAGCAAAATGAGATCGGCGATGGAGGTGTACTCCGGGGAAACGAAGATGTAGATGTGTGACGACGTGAGAGATAGATAGTGAGAGAAAGATAGATCTGGTGAGGAATAGAGAGAGAAAGTATGGGTTTTTAAATAATTATATTAATTAAGCTAATTATTAATTATTAGGCAATAATAAATTACATTCCCAATATACCCCTCTCATTATTTCTAAAATGTCTAAGATAACATTGGAGTTGTTGATAATTACACATATACCATTGTTGATCAAGGCCAAATAAACTTTTGATCTAACGCTTCACTTTTAGTTCTCGGGAAACTATAGGTTCTCAAATGATCATTGCTCTCTCTCTCTCTCTCTCTCTATATATATATATATATATATATATATATATATATATATATATAATATATATATTATATATATATATATATGAATAGTTCTTGGTTTCTATTGGTTAATTTTTTTTCTTTTTCTTTATTAATTTTGTTTTGTTTCTTTGTCTGCTGGCACTACGTGTTATCTTCTCAGACAACCCACCGCCCATAGACATTTATCTCGATGGTTCCTACAACCTCTCAAAAACTCTCCATCTCTCTCTAAACCCATCGGCATCCCTTCAGGGCAAAAACATATCACAATCGATCGATCATCTCCACCACATCACCTTCTTTCGTTTCTTCATTGGCTTCAGGCTGACCGATTACTTCTTTCCTCTATCCACCGCCATTTCCGATCACCACCGTTCTACCTGTCTTTTCTCGACTTCCATCAGAAGCAAGCACCCATCCACCCTCGATGTCACCTCAGCTGCTTCGTTATTAAGATCGATCAGAGAAGCACCACTGATAGCAGAGAAGCACTCACATCAGTTGAGACTTTGTACTGTAAATTGAAGCCCTATTCCGATGTTGATGCAGGTCGCCTTTTCAAATTCCAGTTTTTCTTCGATTCCTCCAATATTATACAACCAGTACCTGTATCAGATTTATATGATTTTTTGACCATTCAGAATAAAATATTGTTGATGAACAGGGAGAAAGGTCAAAGCATAGTGATTCGTTTTCTGCTTTAGATCCCCTAGCTGCTCGCTTATCACCGATTTGGGTTTTTTTTCTATTTCAATTTTAAGAAAATTTCTGATTAGTCAATCTATGACTTTCAAACGGGTCTATTTACTCATCTCAACTCGAAATTGATATTTGTTTCCCCATCAACTACACCATTGAAACTAAAAATACAAGATTTCTACTCTCTGAATTAATGGAACATCATAGGGTAAAAGAGTTTAGGGTTTTTTTCCTGATCTCTATTATTAAGTTAAGTTGATTGCTTCGTGTAGAGTCCACACATGCTCTTTTATGGCCTACCTAGAACCGGAAAAAACACCACTGCTCTCGCCATTGCTAACCAGCTATATGGGTACCTATATTCAAACTTCTTTTTTGTTTGTTTTACCTTCTTTCTACTCATCTTCTCATCAGCTAGCTTTTAATGATAAACAAATAGGTAGAATTAGAAATGCAACACAATAGTTTTATCTAAAGAGATAGAAGACCGTTAATGAATGCTATTTCTTTTGTTTACAATCCTGAACTATACAAATCTAGGGTTCTTGACCTGAATGCTAGCGATGAGAGTGGAATCAATGTAGTTCGGACTAAAATCAAGAATTTTGTTCCAGTTGCTATTGGTTTTGGCTATCAAAGGTATACAAATACAATCTACCTCAAAGATACTTCGGTTAACTATGACTTTCTCAAAGGTACTTAGTATTGATTTTTATTTCTTGTATGAGGTAGTCAAAAAGCCTATTAGAAAGTTACAAATGGACCCACACTTACCTGGGAGTTGACTAGAATCGGCCCAGTATTATTTAAACGGGGCAATAGCCCAACTCTGGGTTCAAATGGCCCACTACAAGAGGGACCCACTTCATTTATCTTTTCCCTGGAAATTGGAGACGCTATAGAACCTTCATCACGTGTACCACTGTCCCAAGGTGACAGTTAGACTCCCGATACAAACCTTGCCGGAGAATTCACAATGTTCCCCATCTCGTCCTCAACCACCAAAGCAATAACCGGTTGGTCCATCTCCGCTTGCCCGATCTCGCCTTCATTGAGATCCCTATCAATTTTCTCCCAAGTATCTGATACGACTTCCTCATCTTCTTCATCATCATCTTCCTCCTTTGTATCCAAATTATATTTGATCTTAAATGGATTGAAAGGCATCCAGTCCTCATCCACTTTGAACACTCCCAGTTTGTACTTGATTCCACTTACAACGACCCAAACTTCTTCGTTTATCTTCATCGTGGATGTCGTTAGAATACATACTTTTCCAAATGAGATGTCAATGCTACTCCAAAAGGAACCAGGACAGACCAGAACCTTCCCAAAATTCTCTGCAACTGCCGCAAATTTGGCATCATCCTAAGCATGGGGCAGCAACCCGATGACTTTTAACCAGGCAACTCTCTCGAAACGCATCGACTTTATGCCAATTTTCTCCACTACATTAAACCATTTTTTCCAAATACTTTTGTTTGCCTTAAAGACCTCTGCTGCTCTTCCATTTTTGAATTTCACCGCCACATGCATACCACCAATATACTTGATTCTGCTTACATGTTACATCATACCCTTCGAGATTCAAAAGTGACAGAAAATTATACAAAGTATCAAAGCTTCTGGCCTCCCCCGCTAAAACAGCATTTGAAGCCCAATCTAGAATCTCATTGATGCTTGACAATTCGATATCAGGACCTCGCCCCATGACTATTGTCCTGGAACCAGCAACCTTCGTAAAAGACCTAGAATCCATGGTTGTACCAACAAAAGATTTGGGAGCCAACTTGATAGGACGCCTCGCAAGGGAACCTCGGGGGTGTTGTGCACAGTTAGCATGTAATAATCTATCTCTGTAGTTAATCTCCATGAGCCCTTTTTCAATCTCAATCTGATGGGTTACATGCTGAAACCAGATGAAAGCAAAAAAGAACATGAAGCGTCTCTTCTACCAACAATGTATATGTCCACCAGTTTTCCAAGTTTAGAACAAGCGCCCCATAGTTCCGGTTTTCTGACATCACCAGGAAGATTGCTAACATAGAAGGAAGTTGCCGAAGGATCGTCCCTGAAATTTTCCACTAATGCTGCTGATTTGGAAGCATTACCCCGACGTCACACTTCTCTCCACCCACTTTCTTTCTCTCTCGCTGCTATCTCGTATAAGTTGGTTTCCCATTAAATAAATATAATAGGCGATAATTAACTCATAAAAATGGATAATCTTCATTCTCTTTAAACCTCCATTAGTTTACAACCCCAATCTTCTGATGGCACATGTCCTTAACAAAAACACACCGAACACACACTACTCACGTATGTAGGAGAAAATAAACTTGCTGGGAGAAAGCTTCTATATTCAATGAAAAAATAGAGGTACAAAACAAAAGAAATAAGACACCTATTTATACTAAACATGCACATGCACATCTCGTGATCTCCTATAAACTTGGTCAAACTTGACATTTTGTATTGTGCACATTCTAAAACATGGGTATAATCCCGTTATTTCAGCATGACTCAATCAAACACTCTGGATCATTAACTAGATCCGAACCATGACCCGTTGAACCAACCGATTAACCCAACATCTTCATCGTCTTCTTCAAGAGGTTGGGATCCCAATCTTCATTGAATGTTGTGAAACAAATAACAACTCCCAAAATCACAAACCTAATTCACAAATAGATAAAATAATTAAGCCAATGTTATCAATTTCCACCAAATCTATTTAATGATTAAAATTTAAATTACTTTATTCATATAAAAGAAATGAATAAAGAAAAAGGTGGATACTTGCTTTATATTGACTTCAATAATTTAACTAAACATATTCCGTATACCAAAGAACAAGTGACATTGGACTACAAACAACACTATTTATTATTTTAATAATTTCTTTTTCTTTTATTACATTTTTTTTTGCATTGAACATAAACATTTTTTACTTATAAACATATTACATTAAATTACATTAAGTATATTAATTTTCTATCATGTCAAATTTTAAAGCTCCAATTATACATTTAACTATCTACATAGTTGCACAACAGACCTTTTTTTTACTCTTATCATGGAACAATATATACATAAAATTTCAACGGTTTTTTCAATAAAATGTTATTTCAATTGTTTTTGTCTATTGAGATTCCCAAATTAAGAAGAAAAATAAAACAATGCATCTTATTTAATAACGAAAAAATATATAAAAAAAATCTTATCATACTTTTAGATATAATACATTACACATATTCCTTTTAGAAAAAAATACCTAAACTTTAGGCCATATAACCAATTAACCATAACTCATTTGATTATACAATAAATAAATAAATTTATTTCAAATTTTGTAAATCAAAATACAAAAGATAAATTCTTTTATTTGCATTAAAATTTAAAGGGATAATGACTTGAAAGGGTAACGAGCTTTCAGTTTTGTTCATATTTAGTCACTGAACTTTTTTTCGTGCTTGATTTACCTATGAATTATTTGAAATTGTTCACATTTTACCCTTATGACCGGTTGTAACTGATCATAAGGGTAAAATGTGTATAATTTCAAATATTCAGGGGTAAATCAAGCACGAAAAAAGTTTAGTGACTAAATGTGAACAAAGCTGAAAGTTCGTTACCCTTTCAAGTCATTATCTCATAAATGGTTCTAAATGTTATTAAGAATGAGCACAAGCGGAATATTGAGGTCACACAAGTGAGTATGTTGTAATATTCGTATGATATACCTTTGGTGTATAAGGTACAAAAAACAACACTTAGAAATGCAGTGGGAGCGACTTCAATCACATAGAAACTGAAGGAAAAAATATTGTGGTGGGTTCAAACATTTTACTTAGGACATATGTGACAATTTTCACTCTAGATGGTGAAGTTGGTCGTTGCAGATCGTACGAGGAAGAGAGAACATATGATAAAGAAGTGTGAAGATAATTTGATGTTAGATTTGAATGAACACAAACGAAATATGGAGGTCACAAAAGTGAGGATATTGTAGTAATCGTGTGGTATACCTTTATTATAGTAATCGTGTCGCACAACCCAACGTTTCTGCCGCCGGCGGGGGGTGTGACATTATCTTTCTTGTCCCACCACTAGATCCTCGGGTAGCTTAATGGGTCCATTAAATCACCATAAATGCAATGTGTCTATAGCGCCCATACACTGCATGCACATTATACTTACTTAGATTTAACCTCACCATTACATTCCCCGATTCACAAGTTTTCTAGGTGGCACATTTGGGTTTGCATCCTCCTTCTTCTTCGGGAAGTCCTTCGCAATACGCCCCTTCTTCATTACATCTGTAACACACCTTCTTGGTGGATGTACACTCATTGGCGTAATGACTAGTTCTCCCACACTTGTAATAGGTCAACTCTTCGCCACATTTTCCAGAGTGCTTTTTCTTGCACTTCTCGCACCATTTTGCTTCTCCTCGACCTACAAACTTTTTGGAACCAGATTTTGAAAATCTTCTCTTCTTGTTGGACCTTGATGATCCATCAAACTTCCTTTTCTCTCCTACATCCGTTCTCCCTAGATCCTTCTTCCAAAGTCGGGTCTCCATATTCTTGGCTGCTCTGACGGTTGTCTTTAAAGTAGTTTTCATCTTTACCATTTGACCAAAGTCTACTGGTAGTCCGTTAGCAAACTTCTCTATCTTGGAGAGTTCGGTAGGGACCAAGTAGGGGAATAGCTTCATATTTTCGGTGAATGCGGTGACATACTCACCAACGCTCATCTTCCCCTTCTTAAGGTTCTGAAACTCGTTGTTTAGGTCTATTATATCCACTTCCGAGCAGTACTTCTGTAACATCCCAAAAATACAGTCTAAAAATTTCGTTTTAATATAATAATAAAACCATAGTCATCGAACATCATATAAAAATCATAAACAGTATATCTCAAAATATCGTAACAATTGTCAACATATCAGAGTATAAACATCCCAGGCTGAACAGATGGTGTGTGCACTACAATCTTCCCGAGCTCCTCTTTTGAAAACTGAGTACCTGAAACCAAAACTGAAACTGTAAGCACGAAGCTTAGTGAGCTCCCCCAAACTACCACATACCATACAATAACCTATAAGGCACCTACTGGGCCTTGCCCACTGCATCGGACCGAAGTCCGGAACTAACTAGGGCCTTGCCCACTGCATCGGACCGAAGTCCGGAACTGCATCGGACCGAAGTCCGGAACTGACTAGGGCCTTGCCCGCTGCATCGGACCGAAGTCCGGAACTGCATCGGACCGAAGTCCGGAACTGACTAGGGCCTTGCCCACTGCATAGGACCGAAGTCCGGAACTGCATCAGACCGAATTCCGGAACTGACTGAACATAGCATAACATAATCATAGCATATAATATGAACACATATACTACATATTGCATCGGACCATAGTCTGGAACACATAACACATACCATGCATGTATCACAAAGACACCAAGCATACTGAACTACTGCATCAGACTGTAGTCCGGAACTACTGCTAACTAAACGGGTCGGCATTGTGGCCGTAGACCCGTTCCTACTAGAAGGAAAACTCACCTGCAATGCTGAACTCTGCCGATAACCCTCTGGCTGCTATCCGACAACTCTCCGAAACGTTGCTCCTCTAGCTCCCTGAGCTACCAATACCAAAAAATAATACTTAGCCTAAACTGTCCTCAGAGGTCAACTAAGTCAACTCTGGTCAGGGTCCTGGTCAAAGTCAACTTTCCAGTTGACCCGACTCGCCGAGTTGTTCTACCAACTCGCCGAGTCCATGCTCCTCAAATCCCAAAACAACCCCGACTCCACTCGTCGAGTCTAGCGAGAACTCGACGAGTTCTCCTTCATCTAACACTTCGGGACTATCTTCCACCGACTCGCCGAGTTGTATGAACAACTCGTCGAGTTCATCTTCATAACTAAGAAGATTGTCTTGGACTCGTCGAGTTCCTCTTCGAACTCGTCGAGTACTATGATCTTCATGTCCATTACGGACCCAGTATGGTTGAATCCTTTACTAACTCCACTCACTGATTCGAATCATAAACAGAAGGGTTTGGGTTTGCGACCCGACTCGCCGAGTCCATGAACTGACTCGCTGAGTCCACCTTGTGACATCTCTATTCTGTCGATTACAGTCCCTTCCAACACCTTCAACCCATAGATCTAGACTTCTAATGCTAGCATTGCACGTAAAGTTGCTAACTTTACGTGCATGCAAGGTATTATGAGGCT